TTTGTGCACAGGTAGGGTCCCTAGGCCTGGCCTTGATCAGGGCCAATCAGGTTCCCTGACTCCTCCTTCCCTCGCTCCCTCAGCACCTCGCCACCGCAGCTGGTTGCCCACCATAGTCCACGCTGCCCCCTGGTGGTCAGCGCACATCATAGCGAGCGATCAAACACCTGGTCGAACTTCCTAGGGGACAATCTGCATATTAGCTTTTTATTATATAGGATATTTTTATTGATATCAGAGAGGAAGGGAGAGGGAGAGAGACAGAGAAACACCAACGATGAGAGAGAATCATTGATTGGCTGCCTCCTGGACGCCTCCCCACTGGGGATTGAGCCTGCCACCCGGGCCTGTGCCCTTGACCAGAATCGAACCATGACCTCCTGGTTCATAGGTCAATGCTCTACCACTGAGCCACGCCGGCCAGGTGAGACCAAATCTTAAATAAGTTTAGAGAAAAGCAATGAGAACTGTCACTCAAACTGTGCCCTGCTCTGACAACGGTCACTCAAGGGACCATCAGATAACCACCACCTGGGCGGCCTGTCGCCGCGGCAACCACATCCGTCAGCACAAGACTGTCCCTGAGCCCCAGGCCTGGGAAACGGACACCCCTAGAGTTTGTGACAACGAGACCCAAAGCCATCTACCCCCAGAGCCAAGCAGAAGCAAAGCAGCCGCCTTCAGGGGCGTGAGCACCATTTATCAGCAACAGGCGGAGCCGCCGGACTGGACGGCCCTGCCCGGTTGCTGCCGAAGGACCGTCCGGGGGAGGGACACTCACCACACGATGGCCAGCCTGGGGATGGTGAACATGAGGGCGGGCTCGTAGTCGTCAATCATGTCCTGGGTCAGGTACCCGCAGTCCAGGGCCCTGGCCGGGGGCACAGTGAGGAGGGCAGAGTTTGGGTCAGACCCGCGTCCACGCGGGCGGACAGCCGGAAGGTGACGCGTGCACCCTGAGCCCTCGCAGGGGTGGGCAGGGCGGCCGCGCTGCCTCCCCTCCCCCGCCTGACCCAGCGACAGTCAGAGCCTCTCTCCCGCGGGTGAGTGAAGTGCCTCGCCAGGTCAACACCGAATACTCCGTCCTAAAAAGCCACGCTGAGGAGGCCACAGCAGGCGGTTTCACAACTGGCCCAGCAGCAGGGCCCTAGTCACACACAGAGACCACTCCGGGCTCCATCAGTCCCCAGTCCATTCGGGGGTGACTTCACACCCCGAGGC